CTTTTAGGACTAAACAGTGCATAAGTTATTAATTTGGGATTTATTGATGCATCCCCCTAAATTATAATCGGTTAAACTATAATCTATACCCACCTTTTCACAGTTATATCAAACAGCCTAATGTTTTTAAGAAAAATATTTTATACTATTATTAATTAGTGGTGGCTCTAATGTGATAGTCGGTCTCACCTACTTTATAACAAATTAGTGATATATGGGATTGCTCTGTTTTTAAGAAAAATGCTTGGGAGCACTAATTAGTGCTCCCACTAATTAGGTGGCAGTAGGTCCTGCCATTAATGATGTGATATTTTGGTCTTGGAGTTGTGTTGGAAAATGCTAGAGGTCCCAAATTTTCTACCAAATAAATGACCAAATGTCTCACATGGGTGTGGGGCCCACAAAATTGCGGACCCCACACCCATATAAGACATTTGGTCATTTGTTTGGTAAAAAATTTGGTATCCCTAACATTACCCCTTTTTTTTTTTTTTTAATGCGTTAATGTTATTAGTGGTGATGTTTTTAATAGGATGAATCATTCTTGTGTTTTTAATCATCTGGTCAACGTTGCTAGCATATGTAACAGGCCTATGGTACCTATGGTACTGCTGCAGAGTACTGTATTGGAGTAAATTTGTGCAAAATAGATAATGTAGGCGAAAAGTCCATCTCCAGTAACGAGAAGCAATCAAGAAAGAAAGAAGGCACAGCAGAGAAACCCCGTGATCTTTTCAATGGCTGTGTTTACGGACTGAGAGAGAGAGAGAGCAACCATTTCTTTCTCATCCTCTCACTTCTCTCTCCGACGGTGATGGAGATCTTCCTATATTTCTCTCTCTAGAAGGCAGCAGTAATGGAGATCTTCCTAAACGCAACGATTCCCTCTGCTCCAGCTTTTCTCAACTTCACTACATCCAACTCCAATCCTCTTAAACTTCGTGCCAGGGTTTGTTGCTTGGGGTAAATTTTACTCGCAACGCACTCATTTACACTTGCGAATGTATCTTCTATAATATACTAGTCTACTGAATTGTTTGCTTATCTTCATCACTACGAAACAGCTTCACTCGTGATTCTGTGAATTTGTTTTCCTTCTCCATTCTGAAAACTTGCCCCATAGTAATGAATTCTGATTCTGTTGTGTGTGCGTAGATGATTTTTATTGATATTGGCTTATCATTTGCTCTAGGTTTTGACCAATTTAAAACTGAAATCTGTTGAATTTTTTATTTATTTTTATTTTTTATACCTGAATTGGACTGCTTGCATTTTGGCCTCCGAGACATGAATTGTAATCGGCTTATCTGTAGACAATTGGACATACCTTTCACTGTCACTGTTTCTATATTATTACTTAAATAACATAGCTAGCTGTCAGCAAAAATTTTGCTAGGCTGTGATCGATAGTGCCTCAACACAAATTCACCGAACAAAAACCGAGCAATTGTGAGAGGTTTTAATGCCTTAACAGATTCAATGACTTACTTTCAATTCTAACTGTACGGGGAGCAAATATTCCGGCAAGCCCGTACTCCTTTCTTCCGAGCTCCGTCGATGTCCGATCACCTGCGAGCAAGTAACGGTGAGCTACCCGGCGGTGTGTGGCCGGAAAAACCCTCTGATGGTCAAGTTAGCACACACCTTAGGATGGATAGAGAGAAGGGAGAGAGCGTTTGAGTGTAAGAATTCCTTACAGAGATGTTCGTATATCGCGTATGGGGGGCGCAGACATGCTTATATACCTTCTGAGCCCTATATCCACTCCCAGTCATCTCCTGACACGTGGCTCTGCTATCCCATCTGTCAGCGTAAACCTTGCTGATCATCACCTAATCTCAACTGCCTGACTTCACAGCTGGAGCTCGGCAGCCGAGCTGCTCTACCACGGCCATGCCATGATTCATACCCAAGCACCTAACCGGATAAACACATGGAGGACCGGGCTAGGCGGCATCCCGGCAGTGCCTAGCCCGGGTAACTCCTTTTGGTCGGCCTTTCTGCCGGTCAAACAGTCTCCTCGGTTGACCACGCCTTTCCGGGCGCCGGTCACTCAGCTTGTCTGGCTTCAGCCATCCCCTGATCAGGCAGCTCGGTCCAACCAAGCGCTATCTAGCCGAGCTCCTTCTTGGGCCGGGGCGGCTCACACTTGGCCTAAGTTCTGCCCGGCCTAAGTTCTGGCAGCCCATCTCTTGGCGGATAGTCAATCATCTCGCCCCCATGCACCGTTGGGCTCTCAATCTGCTCTGCATGAGCTGGCCCATGGAGGTCGGCTGGTGCATGGTAAGCGAGTCCCGCAGTCTATGTCCGACCGGGAGACCACGCTTATATTA